GATAACATATACATTTTAACCACACATGCATGCATAATCTAACGTCTATGTTATATGCTCAGATTTGTACTCTGTAATATGTACACCATATTCATACTAATGGATCCGAAGGATAACATATACATTTTAACCACACATGCATGCATAATCTAACGTCTATGTTATATGCTCAGATTTGTACTCTGTAATATGTACACCATATTCATACTAATGGATCCGAAGGATAACATATACATTTTAACCACACATGCATGCATAATCTAACGTCTATGTTATATGCTCAGATTTGTACTCTGTAATATGTACACCATATTCATATATATGTATCCGAAGGATAACAGATACATTTTAACTGCACAGATATACTTGGAAGTTTAACATTCATAATATAAGTAAACACAGACACAGCTACAGATATTCTATACAACATATACAATCAGATTACCAGTATTCTTCCATATCTTTCAGTATTTCATGTACTAATATTTTAAAGTACATTTACATTGGTATAATCTTGGAAATCAACCTATACTTACAACAGTCATTCACTCTAGTAGGTGGATTTGGTGCTCCACCTACACACTTTTTAGGTGTAGGTACCGACACCCTCCATCGACCCCCGTAGCTGTCACACTCTGTGAACTCATAGTGGAAGTCTTTCTGTGGAAGGTTTTAGTCAGTTAAAAATTACATCAACAGTTAACAATAAAGCAGGTCTGTGTAATTATAATGCTTTCTTATCTTAGTTCTAGGAAATATGTTTCAAATATGACAACTAATTCTTGGTTTAGAAGAAAAAATTCTATAGAACAACCATCCACTAACTTTACCCAAAAGTAACTGCCTCTGAAGGCATTTTTAAAAGTGAAATTGTTAAATCTTAATTATACAACTTTGGGTAGTTTGAGGAAAAATATAGCTAAAAAAAAAAATTTTTAATATATTTTCTTTGGCTGAATACTTGCTCAGACTATCACAAAACTGATAAGAATAGCACATGTGTACACTGATAACATAAAATAATTATAGCGTGTTATTCTGCAAGAGCTTTCTGTCCACAACATGTATATTTTACTTACCTGACATCTAGTTGGGTAAGAACATTACCAATTAATAAAGTTTCAGTTAAAACACAAGTTATATTGTAAGGCAGTCACTACTGCCACCTTTAACACATTACGTACAACTAAGATTACATGTTCCACTAACTGCTGACCCCACCCTAGATTATCTGCTAACCCTACCCTACATCTTCTCCTACAGATGACATTAACTCAGTGATGTTGTTACACCAAGAATTCAGTGACAATCATGGCTAACTCAAATTAAAATAATGAAAGTTTTGAACTCATCAGAGTTCTAATAAACTATTTTCTAGAAACTTTAACCTCAGAATTACTAATGGGATCATTTTTTAAGCTACTCATGTGCCAAATTCCTTGTGAGTCCATGACTTTGTTGGTTACAGGGTCCCAAATAAAATACACACAATAAAAATAAAACTTAAACAAAAATAACATAATTGCAATTATTACGAAAAGAGCCTCTCTATATATTTTACTCACAGAATGAGAAAACCTTGTAATTAAACAATACATAATTAGATTATTAGTTATATTTAGTACCTTTCTAAAAAACCTGACATTATTTTGTAATTAAACAGTATGTAAAACAATAATTAAATTATTAGTTATATTTAGTACCTTTCTAAAAAAACCTGACATTATTTTGTAATTAAACAGTACGTAAAACAATAATTAGATTATTAGTTATATTTAGTATTTTTCTAAAAAACCTGACATTATTTTGTAATTAAACAGTATGTAAAACAACAATTAAATTATTAGTTATATTTAGTACCTTTCTAAAAAACCTGACATTATTTTGTAATTAAACAGTATGTAAAACAATAATTAAATTATTAGTTATATTTAGTACCTTTCTAAAAAACCTGACATTATTTTGTAATTAAACAGTACGTAAAACAATAATTAAATTATTAGTTATATTTAGTACCTTTCTAAAAAACCTGACATTATTTTGTAATTAAACAGTATGTAAAACAACAATTAAATTATTAGTTATATTTAGTACCTTTCTAAAAAACCTGACATTATTTTGTAATTAAATAGTATGTAAAACAATTAAACTAGGTGAACTACCTAGTACGTTAAAGGTCTGATAAATAATCTTGGTAGGCAACTGGTAATAGTTTGCTTTCGATACATAGAGGACAAACAGGAAGTGTAAACCATAAACCTCCAATTCCCCCACAGCTTCACCAGACTAACAGGAAGTATCAACCATTAACTTCCACCCCCCACCCCACCCCCACACACACATAGCTTCACCAAACTAACTGGAAGTGTCAACCATTAACTTCCACACACACACACATACACACAGCTTCACTAAACTAACTGGAAGTGTCAACCATTAACTTCCACCCCCCCACACACACCCACATAGCTTCACCAAACTAACTGGAAGTGTCAAACATTAACTCCTCCCCTACACACACATACACACAGCTTCACTAAACTAACTGGAAGTGTCAACCATTAACTTCCAACCCCCACAGAGCTTCACCAAATTAACAGGAACTGTCAACCATTAGCTTCCAACCCCCACACAGCTTCACCAAACTAACAGGAAGTGTCAACCATTAACTTCCACCCCCAGCTTCACCAAACTAGCAGGACGTGTCAACCATTAACCTCCAACCCCCACAGCTTCACCAAACTAACAGGAAGTGTCAACCACTAACTTCCAGCCCCTCCCCCCACAGCTTCCCTAAACCAACAGGAAGTGTCAACCATTAAGTTCCAACCCCACACAGCTTCACCAAACTAACAGGAAGTGTCAACCATTAAATTCCAACCCACACAGCTTCCCTAAACCAAACAGAAAGTGTCAACCACTAACTTCCAGCCCCCCCCCCCAGCTTCTCTAAACCAACAGGAAGTGTCAATTATTAAGTTTCAACCCCACACAGCTTCACCAAACTAACAGGGAGTGTCAACCACTAAATTCCAGCCACCCCCTCCCCACAGCTTCCCTAAACCAACAGGAAGTGTCAACCATTAAGTTCCAACCCACACAGCTTCACCAAACTAACAGGAAGTGTCAACTACTAACTTCCAGCCACCCCCTCCCCACAGCTTCCCTAAACCAACAGGAAGTGTCAACCATTAAGTTTCAACCTCACACAGCTTCACCAAACTAACAAGAAGTGTGATTACACTTCCAGACCTTGAGAAAAACTAACAGAAGGGAGTTCTAAGCCTTTTATGTTGCCTATAGTGAGATCCAAATATTTACAACTTTGGATGTTTACAATCAAGTTCAAACCATATTCTGAAAGTCACTAATGTAAAGCAGAACTGTATCATTTTTTTCATCTTTATCCACCTGTGTTGGACAAACTAGACTAACTCAGATAATGTCACATTTAAAAAGGCATTTATATCCTTGAATAAAGTGTAACTTTTCAGATATAATCTATAAAAACATTACCATTCATAACATCCTTCACACATAATCAAATAAAGTATTTCGTAATCTTAAATAGTTACCAGCTGAGGGCCTAAATTATAAGCCTGAACGGGCAGGTCAACTAGGAGAAATACTGCATTTACAATAACATGTTAAAATAAAATATCCTTATCAGTTGGTGAAGAACCTACCACTACTTGATGTTATGTATAATTCATGAGTGTGGTTGTACCTCTCACATACTCTGTTACGACATAAACATTTTAAAACTATCACAATTCTGTACTTCTTATTAGGGATGCATGGGTGGTAAAATTTGGCCAAATATCGGGGTCTGGGTACCCAGTCACTAGGCTTTGGCTGGGGCTGAGTGTCAACCAGGACCAGGTTATCCCCTTGCTCCTCCAAAAAACAAACTAAAACAACATACATTCTGTAACCTGCTATAGCTATATGATGAAACTTATACATCCTCTATGTCTGTAATCCTGTTACAGCTATATGATAAAACTTATACATCCTCTATATATGTAATCTGCTACAGCTACATGATAAAACTTATACATCCTCTATATATGTAATCTGCTACAGCTATATGATGAAACTTATACATCCTCTATGTCTGTAATCTGCTACAGCTATATGATAAAACTTATACATCCTCTATGTCTGTAATCTGCTACAGCTATATGTTAAAACTTATACAACCTCTATGTCCGTAATCTACTACAGCTACATGATAAAACTTATACATCCTCTATGTCTGTAATCTGCTACAGCTATATGATAAAACTTATACATCCTCTATGTCTGTAATCTGCTACAGCTATATGATAAAACTTATACATCCTCTATGTCTGTAAGCTGCTACAGCTACATGATAAAACTTATACATCCTCTATATCTGTAATCTGTTACAGCTATATGATAAAACTTATACATCCTCTATGTCCGTAATCTACTACAGCTACATGATAAAACTTATACATCCTCTATGTCTGTAAGCTGCTACAGCTACATGATAAAACTTATACACCCTCTATATCTGTAATCTGTTACAGCTATATG